ATGGAAACCAATTTGACAATAAATTTCATATTTAAAAATAAATAGATAAATAAAAGAATCACCTTTTAACAACAACAAAGAAAGGATCCTAGGGGGTGCCTGGGTGGCTTGGTCAGTTGAGCATCAGACTCTTGGTTTTGTCTCAGGTCCATGATCTCATTGTCTTTGGGATGAAGCCCCACATTGGACTCTGCCTTCCCACTCTCTCTGTCCCTCCCCCGCACTCACGAACTCACTCTCTCTCAAAATATAAATAAATAAACATCTTTAAAAAAATAAAAAGAGGTTCTTTGTTTGGAATTTAGTATTTTTGAAAGAAAATATAGAAATGGAAGGCTCCTCTATCGGGTTACCTGAAGATTTACACTGCAAATTGGCGAAAGATTATAAATGCAAACACAGTGTCTTTAATAGAACTGAGATGTTTGAAGAGGTTAAACATTTAATTTCCTTATGATCATGGTTCTCACACTTTAGCTAGCATCAAAATTATCAAAGTTTTTGTTAAAACATAGATTACTAGGCCCTACATCCAGAGCGTATTTCAGTTGTTCTAGGATAGATTCTGAGACCTTGCATCTCTAAAAAGTTTCCAGTGATGCTGATGCTACTGGTCCCCAGACATCACTGTGAGGAGCACAGCCTTACAAGAAACTTTCACTACCCATAATATTCTATTTCTTTCTAAAAGTTATCAGACATATGTGATATATGGACACACTACAACAACGAATATGAATAACTAAAAACAATTTCTAGGCAACTCCCAAGCTTTTATTCACCATGTTCCTCTCAAAGGAGGAGATCACTATAGGTATAAGAACACATAGGAAAATAGGAGCTAATCTAACCAAGCTAACCACTAACCACGTGCAACTGAAGCTAAGGGATCCCTATACTTAAATAAACTGTGACTGATAATGTAAGGAATTTGAATGCTAATTAGATATTTGAAGATATTAACTAATTTTATAAGTCAAAGAAAGACAAATACCATATGATGTCACTTAGATGTGGAAAAACAAAACAAACGAACAAAGAAACAAAAAACAAACAAACAGAAAAAGCCTCATAGAGAACTGATGACTGCCAGAAGAGATGGAGGTCAGGGGGGATGGGCAAAACAGGTGAAGGGGATTAACAGGTACAAACTTTCTATTATAAAATAAGTCATGGGGATGAAAAGTATAGCAAAGGGAATATAGTCAATAATATAGCAATAACTTTGTAGGGTGACAGATGGTAACTACACTTATCTTTTAAGTTTATTTATTTATTTTGAGAGAGAAAGACAGCACAAGCAGGGGAGGGGCAGAGAGAGAGGGAGAGACAGAGAATCCCAAGCAGGCTTCGCACCGTCAGCACGGAACCTGATTCAGAAGCTCAAACTCACAAACCATGAGATCATGACCTGAGCCGAAATCAAGAGTTGGATGCTTAACCAACTGAGCTCCCCAGGCGCCCCATAACTACACTTATTGTAGTGAGTACTGTATAATATATAGAATTGTCAAATCACTATGTTATACACCTGAAACTAATATAATGTTGTGTGTCAATTATACTTCAATTAAAATTTTTTAAATGATGATAAAATAAAGCTATTAATTTTTTGGTGTTATACTGCTATCATTTTTCAACAGTTGAAATGATGTGTGGGTTTTGCTTTGTCCTTAAAAAAAAAAAAACCTAGAACAAAAGAAAATGAGGAGTGTTATAAATTAGAAAAAAAAAATTAATCATGACCTGATAACTGTTAAAGCTGGATGATGCATACATAAGGATAACACTGTACTATTTTCTGTCCTTTTGAATATGTTTGCAATTTTCTATGAGTGCTTTTAAAATTAATGTTAAAAAATAATGTGGCTGATAATATAGGAGAAGCCAAAGATTTTATGTAGAAAGAGTAAAAAAGGGCACATTTAACAATAATCAACATAATGGAAAGCTGGGGTTCTTTTTTTTATTTCAAAGTGAAAAGAAATTAATGTACGTAACCAAAATACATCAGAGAAACCAAAACCAAAACCAAAACTGTACAGAAAAATTACAGATTTTCCTAACCATCATCAGAACTGACTTTACATGTAAGTAAGAACATATTTTATAAAGTGAGCTAAACTGAATGGAAGCCAAAGATGCAAGTTTTAACATCAGTTCTCCAATGTTTTGCTATAGTAACTCTTGTAAGTCACTTAGAGGATTAGGGGTTGCTTTCTGATTTATACAATTGAACTTGAAGAATTTAGCCTCCCTCACAGGATTACAGGGAAGAAAAGCGAAAAGAAACAAAAATATTTTTGTTAAGAAAGCTATGACTATGTATTTACAATAAGGTCTCGTGCCATACTATTAAACTCTCTGCAAACATTTTAATGCAGATCATCTCTTGTGGAGTGTTGTAAGAGAACTCACAGAGGACTGTCCATCACAGGTTTCATGTGGATGTCCGTAGAAAGCCACAACAGCCAATTCTGCAATAGTTCTTTCAAACTCTGGAGAACACTACACTGAGGAATCAAAACAAAAAAAAAATCATTCATAAAACCATTCAGACACACTACAGTGTCGAGAACAAATTAAAACCAGAGGCTTGGCGGTGGAGATGACTGCATCTAATTCAGAACCTAATAGCTGCTGCTCCAGCCTGATCAGTCTCCAAGAGACAGATGAATGCCAAGTACAAGTTTATATTGCCATTTTCTCTACAAGACTGCCCCCAGCTTATCAGCCCAGGAACAGACTCTTGTTTCTCTAAATTACATTCATTTATAACATATATTACATCTTCAAATAAAGTATCACCCACCCCTGCTGTCTCCCCTTCGATATCCTTTAAAGTTGCTATAGAAATGAGTTTCCCATCCATTTCACCTTGTGTCACAACTACAATTTACTCCCTTTTTGACAATCATAAACTTTATCTTACCTTCTGTAACTGTGGAAAACAAACAATTCTAGTCATTCTCAGGCTTTGCCTTGATTTCTCAGGGTCTCATTTACATACAAATACAGTCTTGACAGAAGTGTGCCCAGAGCATTAATGAGGATAAATCATAGTATCTATAAATTTGAAAGCTATCCATATCATCCCAAAACCTAATACAGGAAACCTTTATTACATATCCTTAACAACAGGGGGAGAGCATTCGCACATATCCTTAACAAATAATGGCCTAGATACTATTTGAATATCTCCAGTGATAGGATGCTCACTTCACAGAACAGTTCAATTAATACTTTTTAAAGAAACTGACACCTTGCATTCAGGTTATAAATATGTTCAAGTTGAAAGTGACCTTGGAATCACCTAAAACAGTGTTCAATTTTGGTGTCAACCAAGGATTTAAACATCTGAGAAGGTAGTAAATATTACCATGTCATATTCAGAAAACTAAATCCTTTCATTCCCCACTCACTTATTCTAATCCATGCAGTCCCCACATTAAAGTCATGAGATTTTTATGTTTATGAGAGGAACATGGGTTAAAAAAAAAAAGGTTGAGAAGCACAGCTCTACCCTGTATAAGAACCTTCTCTACATAAATATCCCCAGTAGATACACCCACTAAGCCTATGCTTGACATATTCTAACACCAGGAAATATACTACCTCTTAAAGTCCTTTATTCCATTTTGAGTTTCCTCTACCTATAATGAGATACTGCCGTGGGGTGCCTGGGTGGCTCAGTAGGTTAAGCAACCAACTCTGGATTTCGGCTGAGGTCATGATCCCAGGGTCGTAGGATCGAGTCCCACATTGTGCTCCGTGCCGAGTATGGAGATCTCGCTTAAGATTCTCTCTCTCCCTCTGTCCCCCACCCCACTCTGGCATGCACACACATTCTCTCTAAAAGAAAAAAGTTTATTAAAAAAAAGATACTGCCCTATATCTAATACTGCCTTCTGAAGTCACATAGAGATCTGCTCTTTCCATGGGACAATCTATCAATTATTTGAAAAGAACCACAAAATATTCATCTTTTTTCCTCCAGGCACAATATTCCTGGTTCCTTTACTATCCCAAGCTAGAAATCTCAAAGTCATCTTGTGTCCTTCATGCTTCATTTCATCACCAAATCCTATCACTTTTTCTTTTGAAAATGCCCAACTTTTCCATTCCTTCCAATCCCCCTGTAACTACCTAGCCCAGGCCTTCACATCTCTAAGATTACTTTATCCTCCTAGTCAGTCTTCTTTTTCTAGTCTCATCTCCCAAACCCCCATTCTTTCTCTATGGCTACCAGACCTTTGTTACTTAAGTACTCTACCTATTATATCCATCTTCCCTCAAAGAACCGCGTATGGCAAAGGAATAGCAGTACATAACAAGGTCTTAAAAATGTTCAAACTCTAGGGGCGCCTGGGTGGCGCAGTCGGTTAAGCGTCTGACTTCAGCCAGGTCACGATCTCGCGGTCCGGGAGTTCGAGCCCCGCGTCGGGCTCTGGGCTGATGGCTCAGAGCCTGGAGCCTGTTTCCGATTCTGTGTCTCCCTCTCTCTCTGCCCCTCCCCCGTTCATGCTCTGTCTCTCTCTGTCCCAAAAGTAAATAAACGTTGAAAAATGTTCAAACTCTTTCCTTTTACCCAGTAACTTCACTCCTGGAAATGGATACCAAGAGAAGAAATCTGTATTATGAAGATGTGCAATATAGTTATCTATACCTACAAAGAAACAAATTAGAGATAATAACAGAAAAAGGATTAAATACATTTTTGTGAACTATGACTAGGTATTGACTATATTTGACTAATTCCGGATTGATTTTTTTGAGAGAGAGAGAGAGGGAGAGAGCACGTGCAAGTTGGGGAGGAGGAGAGGGAGAGAAGACATCTCAAGCAGGCTCCATGCCCAGTGTGGAGCTTGATCCCACGACCATGAGATCATGACCTGAGCTGAAATCAAGAGTTGAACACTTAACTGACTGAGGCATCCAGGCTCCCCTGTATTCTGATTTTTAAATTTATGTCCACTGTTTTTATAATTATATAGGAGATATAAATCAATGTGGACAAAAATTAGAAAATTAACATGTCAAAATGAAAAAAGCATTGTTACAGTGGATTTGTGGGATTTTCTCAACCAAAATTCTTCAAGAAAAAAGTTGTTTACTGATAGGCACAACTAGCTAAGCACAAACAAAAGCACTGAAGATGTGAAACTATTAGAGTTTTAAACATTATTTATTATGTTAAGCTGGGTAATCAAGCTATACAATAGCTAAGGTGATAATAAGTCATTAAAAGCCTCATAAACTCTACTCTGTTTTCTCTTTTGCCTTTTAAAAGCCTCAAAAACTGGAGCACGTGGGTGGCTCAGTCAGTTAAGTGTCCAACTTCCGCTCAGGTCATGATCTCACAGTTCGTGAGTTTGAGCCCTGCATTGGGCTCTGTGCTATCAGCACAGCTATCAGCCTGGAGCCTGCTTCAGATTCTGTGTCTCCCTCTATCTCTGCCCCTCCACCCCTCCCTCTTTCTTTCTCTCTCAAAAATAAATAAACATTAAATAAATAAAATAAAAGCCTCATAAACTAACTGAATTTTTAGCTAATTCTACCACAGGTCACATTGCTGTTATCCTTAGCCACTTTCCCAGAATGAAAACCCTTTGATCACTTATCCTTTCTTGTACCCTATACTTCTCTGTGCTTCTTTCCCTCTTTCATTGATCTCAACCTTTCCAAATCTTTCAATTACAGTTTCCACAACTGCTATTCCATGATAATCTAAACCTATACCTTCATATTCTTCGAAGTATGCTTTCCATCTTCTTATTCTAGTCATATCCTGGCTCTCCCTCCCCACTCGAGGACACTTTTCTCTGAATACATTTCCATATCTCCCTTCAACACCTGGAGGTAAGCAATGCCCTAGCTTCCTTGCTAACATGAGAAAAGAATGTAAGCCCATTCTTTGAGAAGGTAAATATAAAATCAGAAATGAATCTCCCTTTAAAAGGAAAGAAATCTGGTTCTGCCCCCATGATTCCACTGAAACTCCTCACAAAGGTAGCACAAAACTTCTGTATTATCAATTCCAAAAGAAACTTTCTTTGGTCCTTATCTTTCTGGATCTTCCTGGGATATACGGCAACATTCTTCCTTCACTACTTCTTGATATCCTGTATTCCTTTTGTTTCCTTGGCACTACTGTTCTTATGGCTCTTTTCATAGCTCTTGAGAAGGTTCTTTCATAGACTCTCCTTTTCAGGTAAGTGTTGAGTATTCCCCTGAGTTCTGTCCTTGGCCCACCATCTGTTTCCTTTCCTCTAACCCTTTCTCTCCCCAGCCTCCCACTCTCAAATATAAATATATGTATGTGTGTATAAATGCATATATACTTACTAAGTTGGACCATATGAAATTAACACTGATCAAATACTTTTGACCTACAAAATGGCAATTTTGTATGGTTCAACCTAATATTTATAGATAAATAGCTCCCTAGAATGATGGAATAAGAGAAGAGATAAAGAATGACCCAATTACAAGATAGGAAGAAAATCACATAAAGCTGCAAAATGAAGTCCCTGAAGATGTATTGGCTGGGGAGAAGTGGTAGGTATTGTCATGTGAATGATGACGTTGGTCAGGTAGTAAGTACAAATAATATAAATTAACCTCAAATCCAAGTTAATGTGACAGGTAGTTAATAAAGTACCATTTGATTATGACAAATACTAAGCAGGACAATACATTTTTACTGTAAATGTGGCCAACAGTAAGTGACTTAAGGTGAAAACAATGTTACAAAAGAAATACTCTTTATATTGTCACTCTTCTGAAATAGGAATAACCATTCTATACAAAAGTGGCTCTCAGACTCAGTTGGGTAGAACTCTTGGAACTCAGTGGTCTTTTTGGAGAACACACCAAAATAGTAACACATTTTAATTTTATATAAGGTTGGAACAATTTTATTAGCAGAAAATAAGAATGTTATAAATATACAGTATGAATGTCACAGGGGATTTTGTTTGTTTTGGCCATTACTGTATTCCCAGTGTCAAGAAGAGCATCTAGCACATGGTGGGTGTTCAATAAATATTTGTAAAATGAGTAAGGGTATCTATAAAAATATCAACCACAACAATCAAACTAAGTATGGTTAAGTATTTCCCAGTTTGTTTTTATTAATACTAATTTGCCACCTGTTCATTTACTTTGTCACCTGCTACAAGTGGAAGCAGTTCAGGAAAACTGTATGCAACAAAACCTTTACAAAAGAAAATTCTATGCATTAACTTTGACTTGAGTGATGTAGCATCTCAAATCCAGATCCAAGGAAATCCTGGTAGAAAACCACTGCTTTAATGTGGGTTTAGAATCATGTACCACTGACCATAAAACCATACTTCCTATTTAATCTAAGCAATACAGTATTTTCTTACCTTGAAATAAATGGTTGATATAAAGAAGAGCTGTGCTAGATGGTCAAAAAGAAGTGGTTTCACCTCTAGGAATTGAAGAAAAAAGATTATTCAAGATTCCTTTAATTAATATTACAATGAATTAAAGGACTCCAAATTTTCATGATACATACCAGAGAAGCTACTAAAAGGAATCCAGCTCACAAGCTGAAGGAACTGTGATCGACAACAGAGGCCATCCCAGAGAGGAAGGCTCTTATACAGGAATGTTTCACAGGAATAGAACCCCTCCTACAACACAAGTCCATAGTAATAACTCATATAAACCTCTTCAGTCCATAATTACTTTCTAAACAACCAGTTTATTCTGTGCTATAGTTCTTTTAGACCAAATTTTTTTGTCATCAATATAATAAAAGCCTTGGGTTAAGTGCCAGAGTTCCTCATAAAAAGGACCAGATGATTCATATTTGGATACATTACCATCTTCACCAACATAGTTTTCAAATACCATAAAACATCAACTAGAAAGAAGGTAAAAAGACAAGTTATGTAATGTTTTTAAAGATAAATGAAATTGTACTACTCTGGAGTATATGCAGTCGCTTGCACAGTCAATAAGATGTACACAATGTTATAACAGGGCTGTAATTTCTTTAGAGGCCATAGACCAAATTCAAACTCTGGGCAGCTCCATCAGGAGGAATACTGAATGTGTATGTTGCTTATATTCCCACCAAAGAGAGGATCCAGGGCTTTCCTTTTTTTTCCTGTGTGGCCCTGAGCCTTAAATAATGGCATGCACCAGGACTCCATCTTAGACCTCCTTCTCATGACATGAGTTCTCTGGACAATATCATCTATAAGATAGATAAAACCACCACCTATATAATGAGGAGTCCTGTAGTTTAAATCTCATTCCTCAGCACTAGACTCATTATCTAACTGCCTACTGGGTATGACCTTTTAGATATCCAACAGGCATCTTTTAAGTCAAAATTCTTTCCTTCCAAGCCTGACTGTTCCTTCTACATTTCCCTTTCTCACTGAATGCCATCATCATCCTCCCAAGCAGGAAACCTAAAAGTCAACCTAAATTCATCCCTTTACCCTCACCACCATAAAAATCACATCCAACTTCCAATTCAGTGGCCTCACACCAAATCCTTAAGATTTATTCAACACATTTATTGGGCATCTTTTTTGTACCACATACCAAGATGAGCAATTGTACGGGAAGAAAATTTAGACATAGTTCCCCCTGACCAGAAGCTTATGTGTGAAAACAGAGATGCTGCAAGAGACAGGATACAGGTAAACACAGTGAACTAAGAGCACATAAAACAAACATCTAAACCAGACTAGGGCAATGAGTATAGGCTTCTTGATGGTGCTGAGTGGCAGCTTAAAGTACAGCTAGGTTACTTACGTAGGCCAAATAATTAATTGGCTGGTAGATTAAAAAATATTTACTGATTATGAGAACACAGTAACCCTATGAGATATTACCAATGAATTCAATTGAATGCATTCAGTTATATCTTCAGTTTGTTCTCTTAAATTACAGCCCTTTCTCTCTTATTCGCATGATTTAACAAATTCTTTCTTCAAATCCAACAGTACAGAGATAAACATTTCAATTCAACTCTATTTATAACGAGTTTTGAAATGAGTAAATACGGTTTACAAATGATGCTGAGCACTAAAGAAAAGGTATTCAATGGATATCTAAATAAATTTTAGAAAGAAGTGGTGGCATGAATATGAAGCAAGTGGAATCTTACTTGTAAGAAGTACTCTGCCCTGATGATAGTGTCCAGTAAGTTGGCAAATTCTTTTCCATGTTCATAATTATTCACCTTATACCAAATACACTCTGGAGCAGAAATATTAAACATAAGCAACTGGTTGCATGACAATAAAAACTATACAAAACATAATTACCACGACTCTAAAATGACAAATGATAAATATAAACAAGTAATCAGTCTTATACATCCTTATACATCCTAGCCAACCTGCACTGCAGACTGTAACAGTTATGAGTGAGATCGATGTTCCTCAAGAACTTCATGACATAGGGAAATCTTACAGTGAAAAAATAAACTAGTAAAATTAACATACAATAAATGTGATTAGCTTAAGTCACATAGTAGTCCAAGAGAGTATAAATGTGTGAATTAAAAGTTTGAGTATAACCCAAATTTCAACTAGGGTGAGATGGGGATAATCTCAGAGTGGTAGGACTTTAGTAAGTGGTAATCTAATAAAATATCACATCTTATCTAAAGAAAAACTGAGCAGGAGAAGGAGAGTTAGCCTGGAACTGACTAAAACCAATTTTGAACACTAGAAAAAAGTCAGGAGTTGCTTACCCAGGAAAGAAATGATCTGGCCAACAGAAATACCATCTCTAAAGAAACTGATCCACTTGGAAAAATTAAATTCTCAGGTCTTACTAGGGCCTGGATGAAAAACTCCCTTACTGCTCTTTCCTTCAATTCTGTAATTAAGAACTCTTCCGATGACTAATTTGGCTCCCATCTACACTGACAGCAGAGATGAGATATTATTGTTGGCAGAAATATGTAACATGAACATGTTACCAAAAATAATTCTTTTTTTAATTTTTTTAATTTACATCCAAGTTATTTAGCATATACTGCAATAATGGTTTCAGGAGTAGATTCCTTAATGCCCCTTACCCATTAAGCCTATCGCCCCTCCCACAACCCCTCCAGCAACCCTGTTTACTCTCCATATTTAAGAGTCTCTTCTGTTTTGTCCCCCTCCCTGT